CATGGCATTCTGGTTGACATATGTGCAGTGGACTGTTTCAACATCCAAGCAGAGATCCGGTTTGTGACTACATCAATGCAGAAATTAAACCTTCTGGTATGCAATGGCTTAGGAAAACAGCTTCCAGACTAAACAGCAAGGATCAATGCCTGTAGCAAGCCAACAGGATGCTGTCTTGGAAAGCCATCCTTGTTACAAATTAGGTGTACAAGTTTCTAGACTCTCTTAGCAACAGACAACAGCAGGTTCTCCACTACGCACTCACTGTTGCAGTGTTTTTCAGAAACCTACATTTAGTTTGTCACACGTGACCACTTCATGCAGAAACTGCTTCAGTCCTGCCTCTGAGTAACTACCAGCCATTATGAAGAAAGAAGTTTCACAGCACACACAGCTGCAAACCACTTCATAGGCAGGATAAAAAGAGAGACATCGAGTAAGTTGAGAATAAGACATCTTCTCTCCCATAATGTACTGTAATGGACTAAGTCTCTATAAATTCAGATTTAATTGATCAACACCTTCACAGGAAAGTTTCACCCCGTGCAGTAAGATTAACAAGTTTATAAGAAACCTTAGATTCTGCAGTTTGTCACAGGAATGTTTAGCATACCGTATCAGGTACGGCAAACCCTAATGCAGCCCCACAGCAAGTCACTATGGCATTAGAAAGATCAGTCAACATTTGCAGAATTATTATGCACTGTTCAAGGCTTTTTTTGCTGATATGGGTCTTGCCAAATGTTAAAAAAGGTGAATCCCTGACAGATTTTACTGTCCACCTCTGCTGGAATATGCATAGTCACTGCACACAATACCAATCAGATGAAGTGACCAAAGAGTGTCAAAACAGACTTAGGAACTCTTCAACACTCATTCTTGGTTACAGTAAAACTGCAAACAGAATGCTTGGAAAATGGAAGTGGTTTTGTACAAATCAAATATGTACATAGATATGTCATACTCCAATTTGTCTACTTCCTAAACATAGAAACAAGTAAGGAAATAGGAAAATTATCCAGCAGCAGTTACAGCTGCACATAAGGAAAAATGAAAATGTAACTCACAACTTTTTCTTTTTTAACTTACACTCCAGAATCTGAAGGACACATAAAATGCATTGAAGAATTACTTATGTTACAAGTAGATGGGATTTTTTTTCCTTGCATATTAATTTCAGAAATAGAAGAATTTTCTCTAAGGAGCTACTGGATTCAAATAGCCAAGACTCAGATAACGGTAGCCAAGTCACTATTTTCAGTACAACTAGTAATTCAGCCATAGCATGCATCCGTACTTCAGATACCACTGAACAACACTATACAATAATTCAGAAAGCATCATCGCGCTATGTAACTGATTAGAAATTAGTTGCCAAACAAAATTTCCACTTTAGCAGCTGCAAACTGCAGTCAGGTCTTAACTTTGGGAGATCAAAGGTGAGATGGACACAATCAGATATTTAAATAGAAAAAAAAAGGATGCCTCATGGCTTCCTTCAGGAAGGACATAAACATGAACCAAGATAACAGAGAACTGTAGTAGGGCCATCCTTTGATCTTGAACAGTGCATGATAGTTAATAGTGATTTATGACATACAGTGAAAAATCCAAATCCTTTGAGTTATTTACCTCTTGTAAGACCATCAGAGGCTCTTGACAAAAATATTACCACCAGTATCAGAATCACTCCTCTCAGTAATCAGGACTTACCATCCCCAAATACCTACACTTCTCAAAGTACACACAGTACTCATATTTTGGGAATCGCTCTCTAAACCGGCCAAGAGACACGGTGAAAGTTGTACAAACCACCCAGGCCTGTCTAGATGCCCTGTGATACTGACAGGTTTCACTACCCATCCTACGCTGGTGAGCAAACCAATCAACTTTTCTAGTAATGACATCATTTTAATCAGTTGCAGCAGAGTACTTCCCCTGCACTCACGGCAAGCAGGGGCAGATCTGATGGGAGCTCCTCCCTCTGACCAAGGAAGAAGTGAACGAGACTTCCCGTACCACAAATACTCCTCCTCCTACTCCCCAAGAAAAAAAAAAAAAAAAAAAAAATCTAATAACAATTCAAAGAAATTAAAATAATTTATGAATCAAACTATTTTACTGTAGCACCTAAACAGGAAGGCACTTCACATCTAGATCAAGACATTGGTTCAAGTGCATTCAAAATCTGCTGATGAGCAGCAAGTGAGATGTGCACAGGAGCAAACATCCACCAACCAAACCAGACAAAGGAAGGGACTGCCTAATCTCCAGAGCAGAGATTACACCTAGGGCAAAGAAACAAAGAGGGATGTTTATTTGTCATGGATTTGCACCTGAAATGCAAAACCGGATCAGAAGGTCACAATGGTAGCCTGCAAATCAAGTCATGTAGTGAGAATCTTTGTAACAACTAGTGAATAATATGCACAAGTATAACAGAACATGGTAAAGTTTTGAAGGATGAAGAAAAATGCTAAAAAGCACTGAGGTTCCACTGAATATAAACTGATTTTTTTTTTTCTTTTACAGTGACACTTACACAGCCAACTTGCCTGCAGTTACTGAAAAGGAGATACATTGATGCAAATCATATAAACAGTCTGGAAAATGTTTACCCAGTATCCATCTTTGAGCATCTCACACTGACCAAAGTTTTAGGCAGAAAATCAAAACCTAAAAGAAACCTAGACATGAAAAAGGCTGCAACAAATGGAAGGAAAAAGGCAGGACAAAATAAAGTAGCTGTATTTAAAGATTTAGGAACACTGCAGGGGTGAAAGTCAGAGTACTGACACATTTTAGAAGACAGTAACAATCAAGCCTGACTTCTGCAGCAGACAAGAACTCCTGAGTCTTGTTATATTGTTTTAAACTGTTATGTGCTTAGGCTGTCCACTCCTAGGTTATAGATGCAGCAACCTCCAGCAGAATCAATGGGAAAAAAAAAAAAATCAACAACAAACAAACCACCCCATAGTGTTCTCAGATTTTGGTCATGTTTGTGTTAGCTCCTGTTTCTTAGCCTAAACACCAGATAAAAGAAGGCATTTATAAAGGTAACCTGTCACTCTACAGAAAACACATTTATCTCAGAAAACTCTACGACCAGAATGGTAGTCTCTGGCAGAGAGCTGGAACCGCCAGCCTCACTAGTAACCTCTCGTCAGTCATCAGGGTAACAGAGCTGGCCTGTCAGCACTTCCACCACCTAACAGATGTCTGCTGCAACATAAAGCAGGCTATCAAATAAGTTACCACGTGACATCTCCAAGAGGCTGGATGCAGGACTGCTCTTACAGAAAGTTCAAATGGGAGAGGGGTAATGTGTGGTGGTTTCCAGCTTTAACACTACCAAGCTGCAAAAGGTGAGCTCATTATAACCCTGCCAGGTTTTAGCCCATTATAGACCTGCCCTTGGCTGGGAAGGGAGTTGCAGTGGTTCCCTGTGTCTTATGAATCCTCCACTCCTCCTTGGACATTGGTAATTTATTCTGACTGAAAATGGTAAAAAAAGTAAAGAACAAGTACTTCATAGCTGCATTTATCACTGTCCTGTGTCCTACTGCAAGATCTTTACCTAGCCTTACACTCATTTGCAAATACAAGAACTGAAACAGCAGTGTCCACCCATGTAATTTTTATGAAATTTTTCAGAATTCCTTAAAAAAACCCCACCTCACCACAGTAAAGCTAAGCATCTCACATCAATATATCTACCAGGCAGCATTACCCCTCTCACTAGGGAAAGTGTGTTAACTGTGTGTGGAAAAAAAGGTCTTCATCAGTTTCTCTAGTTTTGCAGCATCTTTGCAGATAGGGGATGCCTGCCACACAGTAAAAACCAGTTATTTTTCACCTAGTTATTATGTAATAGGCAGTGCTACAGATTGTACGCTGTCTGGTTCAGAATGCCTTTAAGAAATCTTTAAACCTGTGTTAAGATCAAAATAATTTTTTATCTGTTCATTAATATTTCTAACAGCAGAAGGTACCGTTACAGGCAATCATTTCAACCACCAAAAAAGGCTCTGGTGACATGATTAAACAGTTATACAATGATTAATATGGCTTCTACCTAATTTGCATATGCATTAAGAAAAGAAATATCCTCAGAACATCTCAGCTACAATAACACAATTACTACACATTGTCATGTCACTTCACATGTGTGCCAGGAATGACTATGCACTAAACGAAAAAGCTCACACACTTGACTGCTGCAGCGCAACTCTGAACAGATAGCACTCACGTATCCCCAATAAAAGCAAGAAAAACTGTGAGTCTATCCCATTCCTCTTGAATTTCAAAGTATCAAGTGTAGCCTTCAGAAGGAAGAGATGTTTAACAGCTCCTGAGTGGGTTTAACAGATCTGAGCAATGGCTTGTACACATAAAGATGTCTATGCCCCCTCAGCTCCTCATATAATCCCCCATTTTCACCAGCTGGCACAGACACATATCCCCGTGTAAGTTTTGCCTCTGAGTTCAAGCAGAGTTTTTACCACAGTTTCAAACAGGGGAGTGGGCCCCGCTCTGCAGCTGGATCTGCTCAGGAGAAGCCCTGCCCTCCCCCAGCAGCAGGCCCAGCCCGCAGCCCCCACACTGAGAGGCTTCTGGTGGGTTGACAGTCACACTCCGACAGACCCTTCCCACTGCACCACACCACAGGGCTCGACAGTGCTGCACAAGCGGCTATGCTCAAAATATACAGGTGCAGCAGAAGCAAGGTAGGCAGCAATACCGAGCAAGGGATCTAAAGTCTTCAAAAAGTTATTGAGGATTATGTCTAATCAGAGGAAATAGTTCCTTTGCTATTCTCTGCTACTCATAAAATCTTGACAAACAAGTAAATCACACCAATTCTTCCCAACCAGAAAAACATTTCATGTTCTAGCACTGACTCTGTCTCTAGAGTATTGCAGAAAGTTTCTTTAGAACAAAGTAGACCAAGAAGCAAGATACACAGATTTCTACCAAAAAATAAATCTACTTCTCCATAATATTTCTGCAATTTATTCAAACAGAATACAACAGAATTACCACTTTTATAGCTAACCCACCCCATACCTGAGCCCTTTTCTGTATAGCACTGAATTGTTACTATACTACGTAAAGAGCAAGCACTACTGGAATGTACACAGTGAAGGAAAAAAAAGTAAAGCTCTTCTTGCCAAAGTAACCATTTTCTCTACTAACGTGTCATCTAGAAAAATAAGGTCTAGGCAACGTCCAAAAGTGTTCAAGTTTCAATAAATAACTATCAATGCCCCAAGTTTGCACTGGCACAAGAAATATGGAGCGTGCAGTTTAGAAAAGTATTTTCATATGACTATGTCAGCAATGCATTTCATCCTGCTTAAGATTTACAACAAAAATCATTTCCCTCCGGGGTTCAATTTTAAAACTGAAGCTGTGCAAGTGCAAGAGCACCCACATAGTTGTCTTAACTCTCAATGGCAAATTAAAGCTCTAGAGAAAGACAGTATTTTAAAAAAAAAGTTCTTTATCAATACCAAGAAAATATACATAGCCATATTATGTTTTAAATATATATATATACACGCACATCTTTTCAAAACAGTACGGTTCTGGCTTTTTTTTTTTTTTTTAAGTTTGAAAAGCTTATCCATTGCTATACAGTTCAGTAAGGTGTATTAGGAAACACACTTTTTATATCCCCCATGAAAATAAAGTTGAATCGTTCTGTAAACAGGACTTTCCTTAATTTCCGAAATCTCTACAGACCTCAAGTACTTCACTGAAAAAAGATCCAACCACCTGTCCCAGAACCACCCACGGAGACCCTTGCTGCCGAGTGCAACGTCGGCAGATCTCGGGAGATGCTTAGCAACACCCGGCTCCTGCAACCGCCTTCTCCGGGTGCAAATAAATAATAATAGTGATAATCATTAATAACAACAACAGAAGAACGGCGGCGGACGAACACCTCGGCCAGCGGCGGGCGGGCCGGGGCCGGGGCCGGGGCCGGCGGGCGGCGGGGCGTCCCTCCTCAGCAGGCGCTGGTCTCCGGCGCGGCGGCCGCCTCGGGGGGTGCCTCCCGGGGCTGGACGGCGGCGGCGGCGGGGGCCGGCGGGTGCCCAGCGGCATTGATGTGACAGCCGGAGGAGAGGTGGCTGCGGACGCGGCCCTGCAGCTGGGTGACCTGGGCGCGGAGGAGGTTGGCGGTGGCGGCCAGCTCGGCGTTCTGCCCTTTGAGCGCCTTTACCTTCTCCTCCAGCCGGGCGATGCGCTCCAGCTTCCGCCGGCGGCACTTGGAGGCGGCGATGCGGTTCCGCAGCCGCTTGCGCTCCGCCTTCAGCCGCTCCTGGCTCTCCGCGTCCAGCGGCGACAGCGACGGCGGGGTCGGCGCGCTGCTGCCGCCCTCCCCGCCCGCCGACGGCGGCACCTCCGGCACCGTCTGCGGCTCCTCCAGGGACCGCGCCGGCGGCAGCCGACCACTCCCCAGACCCGCCGCCCCGAAGGCCAGGCCCGGCGGCGGCGGCGGGGCGGAGGCGGCGGGGTAGGCGCTGCCCGAGGGGCTCAGCGGCCCCGCGGGGTTGAAGCCGCTCAAGTTGGTGTAGACGGCCGGCGGGTCGGCGGCGGGAGCTCCCGGCGGCCCCGGGCGGGCGGTGCAGCAGGGTCCCGGCGTGGAGAGCGGCGGCGGCGGCGCCGCCAGGAGCTGGTTTTGCTTGTGCAAGTCAGCCAGGGCCTTAACGAAACCGTCGGCGAAACCCTCCTGCTCCTGCGTCACCGGCTGCCGGTAGAGGAACGGCCCCGCCGCCGCTGCCCCGCCGCTCCCCGCCCCGGCTGCCGCCGGCCCCGGGCTACCGGCCCCCAGCCCCGCGCCCCCCTGGATCAGCAGCTGCTCCAGGTCGGCGGCCGGCGGTAGCTTCATCAGCGGTAGCTCCGCCGCCGAGCCCAGCGCGGCCTCCGGGCCGCCGCGGGCCGCCGCCGCCGCCGACCCGCCGCCGCTCGCTGGTTCCGCGGAACCGGCGGGCGGCGGCGGGGCGGCGGCGGCGGCCGGTGGCGGCGGCGGCAGCAAACGCAGAGCCGCCGCGCTGCCGCGGGCGCCGGCAGGTGGGCGAAGGGCGAAGGGCCCCGGCAGCGGCGCGGGGGCGGCGGCCGCCAGGTCCCGCTTCTTCCCGGCGCCCAGCAGCAGCTTCTGCCCCGCCGCCGCGGCCGCCGCATCGGCTGCGGGTCCACCGGCGGCGCCGAAACCCGGCAGCGGCACGAAGTCGGGTAGCAGCTCCAGTCCTTCCTCGGGGTAAAACGGCGCCTCCATCTTCACGGCGGATCGGCCGCTACGCCCGCTGCTCATGCTGCCGCCCTCGCCGGCCGGCGGCGGCGGCTCCGGTGCGGCGCGGCGCGGAGCGGGCCGGGCTGGGCGCCTGCTCCGCGAGGCCCGCCGCCCTCGGCTGGCAGCGGGGACTGAGCCGCCTCCCGGCGCAGCCGGCCCCACGCCACGCCCCAGGCCCGCCGACTGCCCGCCCCATCGCCACCGCCTCTCCCCCGCCGCCGCCGGTCCCCCTCCTGCCTGCCCCTCCCACCGGGCTTGCGCGAAAGGGCTTCCCGCCGCAGCCCTGGTCTTTCCCCGTGGGGTGTCCGTGGAGAACCCGCGCAGCTTCCCCCCAAAAAACTCGCCTCGCGGCTGCGGTGCAGGAGAGGGGACGCTGCCGGCGCTTCGGCGGGGGCGAGGGGTTTCCAGTGGGCATCACCCGGGGCTGCTACAGCCGCGGCACACGTCCCGGAGGAGGACATCGAGCAAAGCCCACTCGTGGCAGCTGCTCTGGGCAGGTGCTCGTGCGTTGGGTCTTTGATGGACGGGCATGGGGTAGCGCCAGAGCCGAGGGTTAACGCTTCCAGACAATGCGGGTTGGGAAGTCTGACGTGGAAAAAAACGCTCGGCTGTTGGATAACATGCCGACTTGTCAAAGCAAAAGCTGCTCGCAAGAAGATGGATCTGACGAAGCTTTTCTTCTGAAAGAAAAAAAAAAAAAAAAGTTTAGAGAAATTATTTAAAACAGCTTAGATCTCTTTTCAACATTATTGAAATGTGAAAGATTGGGGTTTTTTTTCAGTTTGGGAGTGGTATTTACTTGTTATCTTCACTTGACACAATTCCTCCTGCTTCTCTCCAAGTCTCTGAAATTCTTACAGGATGAGGAAATCGCTTTCCACCCAGTCTTTTAAGAATCCCTTCTGCTGGGCATAATAATGTGATCCTGACAGAGCTGCTGAACATTCTCTTTTAAGTCGGCTTGCTGAGTGAGGGCCTCAGTGGCTTATCTATACCTTCACCAGTTCTCCCCATCCACGGTGGGATCCACCTCCCCAGGCACTTCCTCCCTGCACATCAAGCCCAAGTGCTTCCTCTCCCAGAGTCTATCAATGCTGCTGAGCTCTGATGTAGCCCCACAGAGTGCATGGCCACGCTGTGCCTCCTCTGTGTCTAGATTCACTCCAGAACTGGGAGTGGGGGAGGAGGCAGTGACACCGGTGTCAAGCTAGGAAGGACTTTGCCCCAGACCTGCCGCTTTAGATCCATTGGAGAACCAGAGTCTAAGTGCACTAAGGCCTTGATGATCTTGACTCACCTACCTTGGGGCCCCCAACTACATACCCTGACCGTGGGGCAAGAGCTCCATTTCAACCTAGCTCAGGGCCTTTGGTCACTGCCTGTCTACGTCACAGGTGCTCCTCTCCCCAGTCCCATCTCCTGGGTGGACCTCAGACCTGTGTTTTCAGTTCTGTTCCTGGCACCATCTCCTGCTGCTCCTGCCTGGACTCCCTGGGTGGACCTTGTACCCGGTTCATCACCTTGCCTTGTCTGGGTGTGTCAGTGGCTCCAAACACCAGTGCTGCCTGCCCTGCTCAGGTGCTTCAGGACTCTGCCCAAGCTGGTGAGGGCCACCACCCTGGCTCCAGCTCATCTTCCTGTGGGGTGGCCCTGCTCTGCCACTCCCTGAGACTGTGGCAGATTTGCTTCCCAGAGAATCGGTGGCAGCAGGACTCCAGTGAGAAGAAAGCCATCACGCAAAAGCCAGAAACAGAGACATTTGCATAGATATGGCAGAAATAAGTGTGCCTTTCTTGGTATGGGAGGCGGTGCTAGGTAGAGCTTACTTTAGTTTCCTTGTCTCTTGGCTGACCTAGCAGCAGAGGGGCAGAGCTAGCAGTGCTCAGCCAACACTGAGTACTGAAAACAGCTAATGTGAGTGGCTTTGTGGAAGTATTGCTGCAGCTGCTGGCTGTATGGACTTTTCCTGTCATAATCCTGGGTGAGCAAGCGGCAGTGACTGGTACCTTCTCTGCAGCCAGGCAAAGAGGGCTGTTTAGGCAGAGAAGCCGCAGCCTCCAAGCTAAAGTCATTGCAGCTCTTCTTTCCCTTATGAAGCAAGTGCAGAGGGGGAAAGTACACTGAGAAGAAAATGAGGTCCTGGGTGGGGACAGAGAAAAAGCTGGGGAGGTTGTCTTGGCTCTGGGATCGTTCTCAGGGAAATTCTAGATATGATGTCATACATGACAGAGAGGATGCTAAAGGTAGATCCCTTTGACAGCTCTCTGACAAGACCCGCTGGTCAGTTATATAGGATGGCTTTACTCGCTGATCTAATGAAGAGTTGGAAGGTGAGCCTACAGGATGCAAAAATACGGAAGTTGCTCATAATAAACTTATTTTTACTGAAAGATCGATTTATTTAAATTGTTATCAAATAGTTGCTGATATACCTGCAAGCTAGGTTCTGGTGAGAGAAACCGAGTCGTTTTACTCATCCTTAACGCAACAGTGTGTTACAGCAACGTGCTCTTCTTGTTTTCTTCCCCGCTCCCTGCCCGTCCGCCCCCTACCCCCACCCCGTCCCCCCTTTTTTTTGGCTGAAGACAGCCTGGAAAGCCTCCGGGGCTCGCAGCGCCAACTTCTTGTGCCTGTGACAACCGCGTCGTGCACGCCCGCCTGCCCGAAGCCCTGCTCGCCGGGTGGAGCGAGCATCCACGGTCAGGGCCCCGGGCATCGCCCGGGCGGCAGAGCCCCGTGACGGGTCTCCATCCGCGCGGGCACGGCCGCAGCGCTGCTGAGGCTCCCGCCGGCCTCTTCAACCCCTGACCCGGCGTGGGCGTGGGCCCCGGCCGCCTCCACCGCGGCCCGCGGGTCCCCGCAGGCCAGGCCGGTCCCTCGTCTCAGCCCCGCGGGAACCCGGGTCGCGGGGAGGTGGCAGTTGGGTGCCACCGCCTCCGCCGCTGCCCAGATGTTGGGGGGGGGGGAGGGGAGGGGAAGGGAGAGAGGGAGGCGGGGCGGGCCTAGAGGACGGGCGGAGCGCGGTCGCGGGGAAGGGGGCGGAGCGGCGAGAGCTTCTCCTCGCGCTCGCAGGCGGCGGCCCGATTGGTGGGCCCTCCGCGGCGGTTCCGCCCCCACGAGCAGCCTCGCCAATGGGCGAGCGCGGCGCGCGTTACCACCGCGAGAGTTGCGCTGAAGCTGGTGCCGCCATCTTGGAGTTGGGAGACGCCGCGTCCCGCTCCTGTCCCTCTCGGAGGGTCACGGGCGGGGGCGGGGGACGGAAGGGGGAGTATGGGTGCCCGGCGGTGATTTAACGGCGCCCGCGAGCTCGTCTCCCTGCCGGTGGGCCGCGGCGGGCGCGGAAGGATGGTGCAGTCCTGTTCCGCCTACCGCTGCCGGAACCGATACGACAAAGAGAAGCCCATCTCCTTCCACAAGTGAGCGCGGGCGGCGGGGGCGGGGCCGGGCCGCGGCAGGGGCGGGGCCGTGGCCGCCGCGTGTGCACGCGCGCGCGCCCTGCCGCTCGCCCGGAGGGGAGGGGTCGCGCGGCGGAGGCGGGAGCGCGTTGGGGCTACAGGGAGCGGGGGCACGCGGGAGCGGCGTGTGCGGGCGGGGCGCGGCGGCGCGGCGCGGTTTTACCGCAGCCGCGGAGGAGGCGGCGGCCCCGCCCCCGGCCCCGGAGCCGGAGCCTCCCCCGTCCCTGGGGGTCTCCCTGCGCGGAAATAAGCGAGGTGCAGTATACTTTTTGCTTTTTCCGGGAGAACGGGACACCCGCGGGGAGGCTCAGGGGGCTGAGACACCCCCCAACCCGGTCCGCGTGCGAGGTCTGGGTTGGCAGGAGGGGTTTTGACTCCGAAGATGAGCCTGTCAGAGGAGAAACCGAGCCATCGTGCAGTCAGTCACAGCAGTGCTTAGCTGTAACCCGACCCCGTGTTGTTAAAAAGCTTTCCAGAAAAGCTGAAAGTACTTTTTATTTACAGGTTTCCTCTTACGCGACCTGATCTTTGCAAGAAATGGGAAGCCGCTGTTAAAAGGAAAAACTTCAAGCCAACCAAGTATAGTAGCATTTGTTCAGAACACTTTACTCCTGATTGCTTTAAAAGGGAATGCAACAACAAGCTTCTGAAAGAAAATGCTGTGCCCACAATATTTTGTTACACTGAACCCAGTGAAAAGGTAAACCCAAAGCACTCGTAGTTTAAGATACTGGAATGTGTGTGTGTTGCTAGTATTAGCCCACCAGGGCTTGATGTAGCAGAGCAGCAGGGAGAAGATGCAGATTGTGAAGGATACTGGCTGAGCATGTCTACCTGAAGGCAGGTGGAGGGCTGTGGTGTCTGAAACATGATCCAACAGCTGTTTCATTTACTTTGATAAGAGCAGAGGCTCTCCAAGGCTCTGGAGCACGTAGAGACATTGTACAGACATGTGGTAGCTCTGATCTGCTCTTGTGTGCATACACAGAAGCCTGCAGAGTGTAACCTTGGTTAAAACCTTGCACTGAATTAAATGGAATGGCAGCAAAGTAAGGAAGCATTCCCTGTAGTTAAGTTATTCAACTGTATTTGTGGCATATTTGGAGTTTTAGAGAGCGTTCAATAATACTTGCAAGTTGCACTGTACACTCCCACACTGAGTGGTGACTACTGCTAACATTGAAGGGATTATGGACCTTAGCTCTGAAAATTAGCTATCTTCTCTTAAGGGCTCAGTCCTCTGGCTTTCCAGAGTTAAACTGAGATGCAAACAGAGGGGCATAACAGTAGCAGCACCTGGTATCTGTTTGTCTTTAAATCATCTCTGTCTTGCCTTAACAGTTACCTTGTGCTCCTAAGTCAGACTGGTCCCTAACTTCTGTCTTTGAACTTCTGATGGTAGTCTTCTGTGAGATACATCGTTTCCTTCACTTTACTGATAAAGCAGTTTAGCATGAGATACAAGTCTATTACAAGTTCTCCCTTCTTAGTGTAATACCGGCAAGACAAAAATGGAAAGGATTGATTCTTACCTCCTGTAAAGGATATAAAATACTGGATCTCTTGACACTCTGCCATAGAGGAAGTGGCAAAGGAGAGGTTGGATATGATGGGTCTAGGGGGTGAAAATCTGTAATGGGATTAAGTGCAGAGAGGAAAACTGGAACTTTTACTTGTTTGATTTTTCTCTTTATATACAATATTGGATTTGATGCAGAAGTAAAAAGGGAATGTATTTGAAAAATGAAAAATGGCTAGTAACAGAGAAGAGTGTATAAGCAGAAGGTATATAAGGAAAGACGATTTCTATGTGAATACAGCTGTGTTAAGTTTTTTGTTTGCTTACACTTCCTTGCTATCTGCACAACACACATTTTCTTTGTCACGTGTAAAAGAGTTGCAAAATTTTTTACAGTCTGAAAGCTGAATGGGTGTATAGGGTAATCAGCAGAAGCTCGACTGGTACAGCAGAATTAGTGATGAGCCACATTCCCCATTTCATTATCATGCCTGGATCTAAAAACACAAAAGAGTGCCTTCTAATTATGGAGAAGGATTTAGTGCTATTCTTATATGTCTCATGGCACTTTTAAATGAACGGACACATATCCTAAAGAAATAATGTTGTGACGAAGAATAGTAGTGGTTGTTTTGGAATTGAATCCACACTGATTTTGAAATACAGCTTTTTATCTTTTGCATTATGTAATTTGAAATGCTTTCCTTACTTATGTCTTATGAGAACAGTTTATTGGCTGTAGGAAGTGATTAGAATTCACTTATGATGTGTCAGTGATACCAGTGATCAGTTCTTCATGATAAGGTGTGACAATAGTAATGTATTTATAGAAGTATCATGTGGTGGATAAGCTGCAAATAGAAGTCTGTGCAAATTCAGTTGTCCAGCAATGATCTGATTTTTGCTTGTGCTTCCGACAAGGGTGAACTTCTCTTTGCCAATTACATCTTCGCCTTGTCGATTTTCTTAGTAGAAAAGTTGGAAAGTGATAGCTGATAGGGTCAAACTCTTAGACTATTCATGTGTGAATTAGATAGGCACACTGTTAGCAATGCTTTCTTATAATTGACAGATAAGAGTTGGCTGGTTGTGTACTTTAAAGTGATCAGTAATATTTGAGTGCGTATAAAACTTCCCTTCGATACCAATCACAAAACTGCCTTCTCAGTGACTGTCTGCCAAGTGTAGTTTGTACAAGAGAGATATCTGGACCCCCCCCAAGATCAAGTATTAGCTTGTTTGCATGTCGAGTCAAGGAAGTTAATGACGTGACCTTCAGATCTGATGAACTTGATATTTAGATGATGAGGATTGTCAGCTGTTCTTATAGTCAATATTTTCCCTGTCTTTATGCTTTTATATGTAGTAAGAATATTGGCAACAGGTGGGTAGTTAGAAAATTGGTTCAGTGCCTCTTTCACTGAGGATGTCTTTCTTTTTGACAGGCAATATACAAGCTCTTTTGTTGAAACAGTGCTTTTTTTTTTCTTTTTTTTTTTTTTTTTTTCATCATGTGCACAGAAGCATTTCTGAATTACGCTGCATTCCTTTGGGGCAGAAAGAATCTGATTCTCTGCCCTGGCCTATACTCAAGTGGTGGGGGATCCATGTTTTCTTGAATCTTGCAAGAGAACCTATCAAGAGCAGTATGATAAAGACTGCAGTTTCATGTGGAGTTGAGCCAGTTGATATTCTGTTGCTGCCAAAAGGGAGAATCGTGCTTCTCCCTTATCCATCCCATCTGCCAGCCATGCAGTCCTGTTTCTCACTCCTTCCACACACTAATGCAGGTGTAGGTCATACCTCATGTTGCATTGCTTTGACTTTTAATAAAGAACAGAAAATTTCTGCAGTGGTGGTGGGAGAGTGAATAGCTTTCTGTCATCTTAGCAACTTACTATGTTAGAGCAAAGAGTAAGTACCAGGGCTGGGAGGGCTGCTTTGCTGCTGAAGAGCTGTTTATTTTGGCTTATTGTGTCTCTTGAAACCCAACCCTTACGCTGCAGCCCAAAACCAATAAGAACCAATAAGGTGACCCTTATTCTAGCTCAGCAGAAGATTGTTCACTTCAGGTGTGGTTTTGATTGTTAGCTGATAGGTTCAAAGTGTATAATGGTAAGATGCAGCAGAAAGAAGGAATGGGGTGGAATAGGCCAGCTGAACTCTGTATTATGGAACTGTAGCCTGAGTTCTTGCTTCATATCTAATTGTGGATATGTATTTGACCTAAGCCTTCAGGTGAGAGCGATTGCTACATTCTTCAGTTTTTGATATATTTGAGACATCAAGGACTTAAGTTTCAAACAGCCCTGAAAATGAAGCTGCTTAAAAATATCTCCAACTGAGCCAGACAGAACAGGCCCAGAACTCTTTGTCAATTTTGAAAATACAGACTTTGAAATTTATTTTATTAATTCCAATCTTGGTTGTTTATGTTGTGCTGGGAATGTTGTAAGGGAGTTGAGTTGTAAACAATGTTAAACATGTAAATATAATTTTTTTTTTCTTGTTTCTAGCCTGAAGAATTTGCAGAACAGCCAGAAGATCCACTACCACCTCCTCCACCACCTCCACCGCCGCCGCCGCCACCACCACCACCAGCAGCTCCAGTACTACCGCCATCTCCATCAACTCCTTTTCATTTGTCTCAAATAGATGCTAGATTTGTAGATCCAAGTATTGGATTATTGATGCCTCCTCTCCAGACCCCTAGCAATCTTGCTGTTTTTTGTGATCACAACTATACCGTAGAGGATACAGTTCATCAGCGAAAAAGAATTCAGCAGCTGGAGGAACAAGTTGAAAAACTGCGGAAGAAGCTCAAGACGGCACAACAGCGATGCCGGCGTCAGGAGAGACAAATTGAAAAACTGAGAGAGATTGTTCAGTTTCAGAAAGAAAAAGACATATTGGCAGGAAAAGGCTATGTAATTCTGCCCAATGACTATATTGAAGTTGTAGAAGTACCTGCCTAGAAGTCGTGAACATCAGTTTTCACTTTGCTAGGCCAAGAAATTTAGTTTAAAAACTAAATGCTCTCTAATTCTGTGTATAAGACTCTCCAGAGTTCTAAAACAGTAAAAAAGCAGTCATGCAAATCAGATCACATTTTTTCTTCATTGTCATTTCAGTTTGATACACTTTTAATATATTGAAAATGCAAGCATCTCAGAATTAGAATATGCATTTAGTTTACAAAATCTGAATTGCTTTACAGAAGAAAAGGATGCAAGGTTGAATACATTTAAAATCTGGTGGGGTTTTTTTGTTTGTTTTGTTTTTTGGGGATTTTTTTGGTTGTTGTTTTTGTGTTTTTTTTTTTTTTTTTTTTTTTTATCAGTTTGCTATGCTTTCAAAGCACTGCAAAAAGTCTAATTCCTGGAGCCCTTTGGTGAGGTGTGTAAACGAACCTCTTCTTTTGGAGTAGCCTTTCACTATGTGTGTGTTGTGAGGGAGATAAACAGAATTCATTAGCATGGCTGACGAGAGCTATAAAAGAGACTTTTGTTTTGAGGGCATTTAGAAATACTCCTGAAGTGCAGTGCTGCACTGAGCATACATGTTATTGGTTGGTTGGCAGGATCAAGAGGGCAGTGCACTGTTTAGGGTGACTGCTTTTCAGAGGTACCCTGATAATCTACAGTCCGCAGTATGTTGGAGTGCGGCATTCCCATAAACACTGTAACTGGTAGAATGTTGCCCACGTCTATGAAATTGGTGGTCTTAACTGACATCTTAACTGTGTGTAGCTTCAGGAAGTTTGTGTGGTTTTTTTTTTTTTTTTTTTTTTTTTTAACATATCCAGGGTGTCAGGCATTACTGACTTCCATTGCAGTATACTGTGATTTTTTTTTTTTTTATTACTGCTTCCCAAAAGGCGCCCACCAAAGGGCAGTTATGGAATTGCTTTGGGAGTTGCTTGGTGCTAGACTGGTTTTTAATATTTCAAATGCTGCTGCATCTCTTTCAGCCTTATTAAGACTCTTTCTAAAAATGAATTTAGCATGACAAACTAGTGCAGCAGTTTGCACTTACTGTCTAATAATTTGCTTAGTCAATGAACTCATTCAAAATCGGAGAAAATTGCATCATACTAACTAACCCTATTATAGCCTTCACAGATTAAATTCCTGGATGTATGAGACATGGGGAAAATTACATTTCTCGATCCACATCAAACTTGTGTGTAGTGTGAATTCTAGCTCTTGATACTAATCAAGCCCTGTACACCATGGTTTTAAAAGCTACCTTTAATATCCTGTTAGCATGACATTTTGAAATGTTTCAAACCAGTCTTGATACTTCTGACCTAACTGATGCCATGTATCTGCTTTCCCTACCATTTCATACACTTAATGAACAAAAATGCTGATGCATCCTCTTGTGTACATTTATTATGCCTGATTAAAAATGAAAAGCAAATGGTGTGTTAGATTAACTGCTTTCTCTCCTCTTTTCCCAGGACTTCGGCCAAACTAGCTTAACAATTTTTAATCTTTTTTTGTAAAGTAGTTCTCTGGTTTAGATGCTGGGTTTTTCTTACAGTGTCCCTGAGCCTTGTTGCTGTTACGCTTTATACTTAAACTTGAAAATGCTCGAATTCAAAAAGTGACAAGGAAAAGACGTTTAAACAGCTGTTGCTATCCTGTTGGCATGTGTGGCCAGATAGCAGATTTTCTGTTTTCTCTACAAAATACCCTCTTCTTACTCTCCAGGAATTTAAAGTGTGATTTCCTGAGGCTCAGAGGGTTGCTTCAATACCACACCCCTGTGGTTGGGTTGCTCCTGCTATCTCCCTCTTCCCCACACCATTTGGCTGTGTACTGCCATTACCACCCTTATTTGTACCGTTTCTGGTGCTGGTTGTAGCATTCTGTGGGGCAGTTCAGCTCATTAAAGCAGCAGGTTTGACTCATAGTGGAGAGGCAGAGGAAGACCAGCAGTATCAGATCTGATATGAGAAAAAGATGGGGTCAGGAGCTGGGGATGAGGAGAAACGAGTCCTCTCCTCCAGCTGCAATGAGCTGTTGTATTATGTCAGGTGCTTCTCAAAATATAATTGATACTCTTTAATGTTCAGCACTGTTTCCTTCCACCCTGGCCTAAGATCCTCATCTCCCCCACCTCATGCTCTGGCTGGTGCTTGTTGGGTCTGCCCTTCTAGTATTTTAGCTCCATAACCCTCCAGAAGAGCAGCCCAATAAAAGGAATTCAGTAAGGTAAATTTAAGGCATGTTGATGGGTGGCTGGTGTGTAGAGTTCTTGTGTGTTTAAGCTTTTCCTGTTGGTGAAGTTGGTTTAATGGCTGACTCAAGTAAATGTTTCTTCCATTAAGTGGAGCGATTATTGCTTGTCTTGAAGGTTTAAGTAGTACCAGGTTGAAGAGGGGGCTGCTGCCCTATTGCTGATGCCTCCTTTCCTATTATCAAAGAATTTTTCTAAGAAGATGTCATCCATCTTGACAACAGGCTTGAATTTCTCCTGCAGCAACTTTTTACTTAAAAAAACAACCTTGCTAACTCCTGGTGCACTGATGTTGGAGCTATGTTAGAGCTAGATGTGGACTCTTGCTAGGCCCATGAGGGCTGTCAATATCACAGAGCTGTGAAGTGGGGAAAAAAGGCTGGCATAGAAACAACTGACTGTCTTTCAGCAATTGTGCCCTACCCTGGCACTATACTTCAATCTCTCTGATTGATAACAGTATAGAAAGAGAAGATGAAGGCTATCTGCTACCGGTCAGGCTAGGAAAGGAATTCTAGCTTTTCATGTAAAATTAAGAAGCACAATATGTTCCCCAAGCATTTGCTGAAATTTCCTCTTTTTTGAAAATGGGATGTGTTACATTTATGTAATCAATCAGCTGTAAAAAAAGGGCTGCATCACTTACTGTTTGTATTGGCCACAACTGGTACCTACACGTAGTAGTGATTTTGTAAACATCTCTGGAAAAAAAAAAGTGATTGAGACTTAAAAAGCAGAGGTGGGAATGTAGGAAGGACATGTGGTTGTCCAATTGTACATGAAGTAGCTGACATTTGTTTAAAAGCATGTAATTGCATTTCACTGTAGCCTATTTTATAAAGCAAACAATTCAAGGAAGTTAGAAAGTAGCGAAATTGACAAAAATGCTTCATCTTTAAAATCTGAACAGAGAGATTTGTTTTTAAATATACTGATACTCCAATGGGCAGAAATTGGAGCTGCTTCTAAATAGAGAAATGTTGTCTTACTTTCCTCTGTTTCCCCGAATTCCCTTTTGCCATGGTAGGGTATCTGACCTTTCTGTAGTGTTTACTTTTTTTTCTCCTTACACCTCTGCAAAGCACTAGATTTCCCTATCTAACTGGGACAGTCCAAATGCAGAGTTATGTTTTATGGGGAAAAAATGAATAGCGAAGGACTTGGATTACTGCTTGTCATACTGGGGGAGTCCTTTGTCACAGCCCTTTTTTCTCCTCTGCTTCTAGTTGCCATCTTGTCTGTGGTGTTACTAGTGTGGTCTGTACTGTGCAACTGTGGCAGCAAATGAATGAAACTGAGATTTCCAAGAAATTTGTCTTGCTGAGATTTCATATTCCTTCAGCTCTACATAGAGTTTAGGGTACAGGTGCCCTGTGTGAATTTTGAAGGGGTTCTCTTGCAGCTGAAGAAAGTGCGAAGCAAATCCCAGTTTGAATGTAGGAAGAAAGTGAAGTAGTTGCTTGGGTAAAACTAAAACCACAACAGTTTCTAAGTCCATTTCAAAAGACTTCTCCTATTACATGCTTCTCTGGAACCAGGCAAGGGTAACAATTCCTTGTTACCCTTTTGCTTTGTTTCTTTCCTGAGATCTGTTTGAGGCTTTATTATATAGGCTTATCTGTTTCCTGTCAGTTTACACATTCATCAGGTGGTTTTGGCAGGAAAGGGGTGTTTTGAGCTATTGTCTAATTTTAACAACCAAAACACAGTCTGCCAAAGCACATTGATGCTTACAGTCTGTCATGACTACAAATTCAGGTCTGTAACTCCTGCTGTTTCAAGCACAGCAGGTTATTTACCATACTTTAGCCATTATAATAATTTATTAATAAATGAGAAAGAGCAAAACAGGATACATAATTCAAAAATATGATGACAGTAATTCCAATTGAAGATTTCTCTTTGTGCATGTTCAATGCTTTCAACAGAATTTTTGTCTTCTTATAAAGATCTTTTGATGGAACTGCAGCATTTTATTGTGCAAATTGGACAGAAGGCCTTACAGTGTTATATAGACTGAGGGAGTTTAAAAGTGTGCAGATAAAATGTGTTGCAATGTTCTTGTTTAATCCACTATGAATAACTCGAAACAGTTCCCAGAGGAAAATCACCTTAAATATTCTGAAGTCAAAGAAAACATTTAAATCAGTTACTCAGAAGGAAATCTTCAAGAGCCTCTCTTGAGGATAGATACATTACATCGTTGTAATTAAGCCATTGCAGTAATTAAATGTCTCCACAGTCCTGCCACTATAAATTCATTTAGCATTTAATATCACTCCTTTTATTGACTGTCATGCAAAATGACCTAGTGATCCTGCTGTAGATTCCTTCTCCCACTGTACAGGGAAAATAGATTGTAAGGCCTGGGTTCACACATTGTTGGACCCTCTGAAAGTGATTGTCCTCTGCATCTTGATTGGTTCTAGTAGTCTACTAAAAGGTCTTTTAGTTAGGAGAGGATACTATGAGACTAGTCATTTGCAGTGGCTTGTGAGTTTTGTTTTGTTGTGTTTTTTTTTTTTTTTTAAACTTGGGCAGAACCCTAATTTGCAGAAACTGCTCTGACAGCAGCCAGTCAGCAGATCAGACCTCACCTTTGTCACAGTGATCGCCCTAACCAGCCTTGCAATGCCAGATTCTCCATGGGAAAACAGTGGTGGGAGAGTTTGCAGGAGGTTCTTCATTTAATATCTCCCACTAACTTGCTTCTGCCCTCTATTCATTTCACAGCAGAGCTTAAGTCAGCCCACTGCTGTTCTGAAGACTACCTCCTGAGGGTTCGAGCTGGGATGTGAGCCTTCTAGCCAGAGATGTCTCCTTGTCGTGTTGAGTCTGTAATATTTAGGTTAATGTAAAATAATATATAAAGAATATTTATTCCTTCTAACAGTTTCTTAAGATTAGGTAGAAATGTTCACAGGTAGCAACCAAATAGATAGGATATGTAGCATAATCATTTTGAACATCTGTGATATATTTTGGGCTTCCATTTTCACTGGCTCATAAGCAGATAGTATTCTTAAATGTAGACCCAGAAATCAGGTTTCATGTACAATAACTTTGGAATTTCCTACCCATAATAACTTATTATATGAAGATATTATTTCCAGTTCTAAAGGAAACACAGTCTTCTTGAATGTCCACCTATGTGCTTAAAGTTCAAAGTTGTCTACCTCCAGGTTTTTGCTTGTTACATTAAATCTGTTCACAGTTGTACTCATGAATATGTACAAAGAGTTTTGTTAGTTAGGCTCTGAGTGACACAAATGAAACAATGGCTATTAGGTGATTTTTTTTGGTGTTTTTTCAGTTTTCACACCAGATGTCTGAGTACAGAAGAAATAAAGGCCTTGGACATGCATGCATAACGGTCTGTATCTACAACAGAAGAGTTCTGACTAATACCAGTTAGCCTGAGACTATGGAAACACTTGATGTTAAGCATGACTGTAAAGAAAGCACAGTGTATCGATGCCTTCAGAGTTGGAGTATGTTTTTTATGTAATTTGCAAAAATTAACTTTTACAAAACATATATTTGTAACAGAAGGGATGTGAAGGTAAGGTTAGTTAGCAGAATGTCCTGTAATTATTTGGTGGCATATGCAACCAATGGATATATCTTAAAACTGCCTAAGTTTATTAAATACTTTAAAGTTTTAAAACAGCTAATTGAGAGGTTTTAAGACTCAAAAAGTTATTTCTACTGGATGACATTTTTGATATGTATCATTTATCTTGCTTCTGACAGGAGAGAGAAGCTGAATAAAAACCCCAAATATTTACAGCTTCACCTCACTAGAAAGTATAATTGATGTTGCTTACAAAAATATGCAAAAACTAGATCTGTCTTTTCTACCATGCCAGAATATCCTATTTCCTATAGCTGCTTTAATGGCTTGTCTTTACCTATAGCCAGAAGCATTAACCTAATTAAAGGTATTTAGGTAAATTCATCTCACATCAAACAAATGCTGGGATCACAGTCCAAGAGTCTGTGTATATTAAGAGGATGGACATACAGGACCACAGCCAAAATACTCTGCAGTCTACACCCACAGTGCAGGGGCCTGGGTCTGGGAAGAGGTTCAGCTCCCCAATGGAAGGCTGATAAATTCAGGACCAGACCCTGGCGTGTTGATGGATGACGACAAAGGGTGCCAGGAGATGAATTAC